GGGGGGCGGGGAGGAGGCGGAAAATTTTTTTTCAATAAAAAATTATATAAAAAAATAAAATAAAAAAAGATTATCATCCAAAAAAAAAGTGCTGACTCAAGTTTGCAAGTTCAAGGTTCATCTGGGCTATGTGAAAATTGCCAGGCAAGCCAGGGAAAAATATTGAGACCATTCATTTAAATATTAAAGAGTAAGTAAGTAAAAGAAAACTGAATGTCAACTTATTAAATTGAGGCATTCTCTCACTTATTGCTTGACCTAGTAATCAGAATGTGTGTATGCTCTTTGGAAAATGAAGCGGGTCTTCAAACTCATAGTAAATACAGTTCTGTGTACACACAAACTATAGCATGCATAATACTGAATGTGATGAGAATGAGCATCTTACATCTCTTTTTCCTGTAAAGGTCAGTGAAATGACTCTGGTGTTCAAATCAAGAAGATGCTAGAGCCAACATTTAGGAAAGTCTAAAAGAAGGTGCTCGTTTCTCTAATGTCTAAGTTATTGTCACTTCTGATGCTGCCACATGGTTCTAAACTGTCCATAGCTCCTGTCAAACAATTTCAAGTCAACCCTTCATTGGTTACAAATGGAGAAGGGATTCCTCCACATTCCAGGGCTGCCTGATGAATTCATATGAAGAAGCATTTGATACATAGAGAAAGTATAAAGTAGACTTCCCCAAAAGGAAGATGTGTTGTCACAGTTACTCGACAAAGTGAAGTGACTTTTCAGCAGATCCTGGGTTCTGATCTACCAGTTTTGGTTGGCCACACCAGGTACAGTTCAGTAACATTAATTAGTAAGACTTCAATGAGTCTGATGATCAGCTGAGCTAAGGCTCAAGCCTTACCTGTTTTTAATATGTAGAAAACATGGTATAATAGGCAGGTCTATCTTAGAAATATCTGTGGCCTTCTGTTTCTTTAATACTGATATTTACTGCCATAGTCACTTAACATACTCTTGGAAAATTTCCCCAGTTCTTCATAACGCTAACTGGCTTCACAGGAGAACTCAGACAAAGTTTTAAACAATTCCTGTGTAAAGATCAGATCTTTCATTGTAAGGGACCAACTTATTGAGACCATCATTAAAACCCAGACTGATATATTGGCTGAAGCTCAGTTAAGAAACAGAACAAGCAAAACATGAACTTGGCTGACTGTAAACCAAAAGTAGTTGAGAGCTGAGGGATGTGATTCCATCCCAGCTAAACCACCACAAGATTATCCTGTCACTGAGCAGAACACCCCAAATAAAATTCACTCTGAGTCATACAGAAGGCCCACTTCAGCATCTTTGTTTGGAAAAGTAACAGAGGCTTCTATTACTTTACAGCACTCTGGTTATTGTGTTTCATCAGCCTCTCTTTTCAGTGTCGAAGAAAGCAGCATTTTTGCCTGTAGAAGGCGAAATCCATGGCCCACCGTCCATTACTTAGCATCCTGCTTCGCCTATTCTCTGTGCTTTGAACCTCAGAAAGGCGACTTCCTTTGATTCTTGCTAATCTCTGGTTACTTTAAAGCACGGCTTTAAGCAATTTTAATTAAAGCAATTGTCAGACTCAATAACAAAATGCTATGCCATTTATAAAGACAATTTACGAAGAAAAATATTAATGATGAGAAAACCTAAAAAATAAATGTCACGTTCTAAAGCCAGCTACTTTGTAACATTTTAAGATAAGTTTCTTTAACCCACAAAATAATTTGCTTTGACTTCATTTTTTGTTAGAATGATATGAGTTCTTTATGTTCTGATTCCAGTTGGTTGCAACAAAAATATGTGCAATAGAAATCTCATGATAAATATGGTTTTTATTGATTTATATTATAAAATATCAAGTTGTCTGGTGATTAAATTTTTATTCTTTGAAGATTTTAAAGTTTATTTTTATCATATGTGTTTTGTTTGCATGTAAATGTATGCATTATATGCATGCAAAGCCCTTGAAAATCATTACAGAGCAACAGCAACCATGGAAATGGAGTTTCGAGTAGTTGGAGCTGTCATGGGAAAGTTGGAAATGAAATTTTGGTCCTCTACAAAAGCACCAAATATCCTTAACTTCAGAGATATATCTCTAGTCCCTTGATGATTATGTCTTTATTATCACATTTAATTCATTTTAAGTGAATTTAGAGAGAGTATGTCTAAAATTATATATATATATATATGTACATATATATGGTATATATTTGCACATAGTGTTTAGTGTCCCACACATTCTTACTTTATATTGGCACGTTAAATACCTAAAAGGCTGTTGATAATTGGATAATATTGTCTAATTATGGTTGTTATTTACTTCTTTACTTCCAGGCAAATAACATTAGCCTGTATAGTTATTTACTAATTTTATATTATATATTGTGAAAAATGTTCCTGATACTTTTAAATTGGAAACTACCTAAATCCTGTAGCATCTTCCTTTATGATTTTAACAAAGTATAAATCTTTTCTCTGTTATTAATGGTACAGATATTTTTCCTGCTTATTGTTGTTTTCAATTTCTGCTCTCTTTTCAAAAAGGTCATCTTTCCAGGCTGCATATTTGTGTAAATCTTAAATATCATCTAAACTACATTCAGTTTTCTACTGGGACTTACTGGTTTTCATCTCTGAACTCAATAAACTGCCTGTAGTGTAGGGCTCCAGAAAGTCTATAAATTTTCAGTGATTTTTCTTCACTAACAAAAGTCTTTTATTTACTCTTTATCATTATTTTCTATTCTTTTGTAATTTATGCAATCTTTCTTTTGTAAATTGAAATTGTAGCTCCTAAGGTTTCAGGGCTGGGTATTTAGTTCAGTACTAGAAAGCTTACCTAGCCTGCACACGGCCCGGGCTTCAGTTCCTAGTATGGAAAAGTAAAGACATAATTTGTAAATGTCATATACTGAATGTAAGATGGGTGTGGAGGCTTATGCATATATTCCTATCATTTTAGACATTACAGTAAAAGGATTGGTGTGAATTTAAAGATAGCCTAGGCTAAAGAGAGTAAGACATAATTAAACCAGTTCCCAAGCAATTATAAGACTTTAAAATTTCTTATCTTATATTCATTTGTTATTGTTAACTACTTCTCTACTAAATCAAACTACTCAGTCCAGGTCTCTCTCTCTCTCTCTCTCTCTCAAAAAAAAAAAAAAAAAAAAAAAAAAAA